AAGGATATTTTCACATTCATCTGCTGAAAGTGGAAAGTTTCTCTGTTTTCATTGAAAATCTGATTTTTATGTAGATATTCACAGATACCTAACCCAGCACAGTACTATACTTGGATTGTTTACTTTTGCCAGTAGAAATTTTAAGCCAGGCACCACCCGGGAATAGGGGGAAAAATACTTTTATTCCATCAGGAGGAAAATTTGCCAGATTTATGTCTCATTAAATCTGTACTATTTTGCATATCAGCAGAAACCATTTATGCCCAACAAATAAAGTCAAAAGTTCTGACTTTATTGGTTTCTTGCTGTATTTTGATCAAACACTAAATAGCTAGTAATGGTCAATTGTTTTTGTCTATAAATATATATATTTTTAACATTCTTTTCCTCATAAAATGAAAATGAAAAAAGTATATCTACAAGGAAACTGTGAGTAAAACTTAGTAGAAGCAGCTACTATGATTCTGGGTATTTTTGGTTTTGAATGTAAGTGAAAAGTCATTTTGAGAAAATTGGTCTAGCCTTGACACAAGACACAAATAAACCAGAAACCAGCACATAATGCGTATAAAAATGATATCATTGGGGATTTTTGAGATGCAGTGAACAAGGCTCAAACTCTGAGATTCCAGTAGGTTAAATCCAAGCACTGTCAGTGTTTTTCCAGACTGATGGCCATCCTGTTACACATGCTGGAGGGGATCTTTCAAAATATTGGTCTATTTAATATGATATGTAGAGGAGAGGACACAGAACACTTGTTTCAACAGTGATTCACAGAACTATCTCAAAATCTTTTGACACCACTATGTGTCCATTTTTATGTGACTCGTGTTTATGTTACTCTCATGAGTTGTATTTGTGAGTTGTAAAAAATCTGAGAATCCCAGTGAAAATTTGTGCAGTCTATCTTCAGTTTGCAGCACACTCCTCTGCAGTGTATTTTTTTATGCTGCCACTCAGGGGTGCCAAAGTCAAAGTTTTTCACATTTGACACATACAGTAGTGGCTTCAAAACACAGCTGCTGATTTCTACTGAACTGAAAACAAAACTAAAATATAAAATAAATCTTTCTTTTCAACAAATATAACTTTGTCAACCATGCAGGAGCCATTATTAGAGAATGGAGGTATGGTTTTGTTCGCGGGGGCAGCTTAATCCACTTTCTTCGGCTTGCGACTCTTCCACATGACAACTGCAGTGAAGGCCCCTGTGGAGAAAATGAGACTGGTATTAAATCTGACATAGACACAACACACACCCTCACACCTCATTTAATTTTATATAGAGATAATTTAGAGGGGTTGTCTGTGAAGTCCATATGGAAATACCTGAGTGTGGGCTTTGTTTTTGAACGACAGTGTACTTACCTATACAGAGGAGCAGTACTACTGCTGCGATGCCGGGCAGAATGACGGAGTACTCCCGAGGGAGAAAGTACTGGTGCAGTACATGATCACCGTCCACAAAAGGCTGGAAAGGACATAATACAGTATCATACATTTAAGTGTTCTTAATGGTAATATATGAGATTTAAAACTTTAATATAGCAGCTAACAACTATTCTCTATGTAAAGATACAGTGCAGTCAGGGTGTCACTCTCACTCTGCCTGTGTTACTATCACAGCCTCTCTGTGGTTTGTTTCCATAGCCGCTCTGCTCCGTGTGCAGCTGAGTAGAGCCACTGAATCTGCTGTTTTTTGAATCATCTTTAATTTAATCAATATATTGGAAAAGTGGAAAGACTAACACAGACAGAGTTTGGGTGAGTTTTATTTTGTTTCTGTCCACTTTGAATAAAGTTACGATGTTACGACGACATGAAACGTAAAGTGATAGTGCTAATAAGGCTGTTTCTGGTTAAACAACAGGTCTATCTCTGTAGGAATCCTTTTCATAATGCTGTCAGACACTAAGAATAACAATCTGAGCCACTCAGTGGCAAACCCTAAGACCCGATCAAGCAAAAGGTAAAGAAATATTTCATTTCTCCGTAGGGACCCTTTCCATAATGTTGTCAATACACTTATAATAACATTTGGAGCTACACAAACGTTAAGCCTTGTGTTGAAGTTAGGGTCTCTAATTTGGATATCAGCGAGACAGAGAGAAGAACCTACCAGGATGATGACCCAGACTGAGTAGTATGTAAACAGCAGGAGGCTGAAGACAACAAGACTCATGCCAACTGCTTGATCCACTCCTGTAGCCTGAAAACAGAGAGACACCTACTGAGCAGAAGGCACTTGGGGGCAGTTATATGTTACATACATGACCAAAATGACTTCAGATAAACGAATAGGGGATGTATTGTATTGTATGTAAGTGTACCATATATGGATTTTTACAGATAACAGTTCAGGGGGTAAGAGACAGATAAAACCATTAGACTTTTTGTTTTAGTATGCGTAAAGCTCCAAAAATGCTGAATCCTACTTTCTCATAAGTCAAAAACTCAACTCAAAAGCATTTATTAGCTTTTATTTTACTTTTGTTTCCTGTTAAATGCCATTATTGTTCACACACTCATACAACTGTTTTCACAGGCTGAGTAGAACCTCTTCTGGTTAGTAAACTGGAATCCCTCTTGAAATGGACAAACCTAGCTTAATCATTTCTACAGCTTGTCGAGTCCAATAAGACTCTGCTTCTGTGTGTGTGACAAGCACTGAAATTCTTCTAGAAAAACGTCATCATCTGTTTTCAGTATGATGTCCTACGCTGGTGTCAGATGGGACAACTGAACAGTTAGTTCACAGCAGTTTATTTTTATTTATTTTACAAGGTTTCAAAGTGGAACATTTGCCTTTTTTATAACAGGACTGAAAGTAACAGGACTGAGCTTGAATGTAGCCATATAGCATCAGTGCTAATAGCATGAGAACAATTTGCACCTTAAAGTGGTTTACTAAAAATATCCTTTAAAAAAACATAACCTAACACAAGAGATGATGAATCAAAAATAGGAAATAGAGTGAGAGAAGCTACTTTCAGTCTTCCTGTGGCCTTCAGAAGACTCAAATGATACTATATCTTGTTGATGTGGTTTGACACGACTAAAATGTAATCGAACCCCCCCCCCAAAAAAAAATTATTTTATGTTAAATTGGAAACAGTCATTATATTTGATGGTGAAGCGTAGTGGAATCCTATTTTTTCAGTGTTCTAGGTAGTTTTTAATTAAGGTTTCATATGATGTATCTTGACACTTTGCTTGATAATATAATGGATTATACAGATACCTTTAATGCATATTTATGCATGTAATGTCCTAGAGATGGAAAATGCACTGATTCAGCAGAATAACCCATAGGCACTTAGGTGAAAGTATATTTAGATGAAACCGCTGGCACCAATTAATCACAGTATATGACTTATATATACTGTCATAGACTGTAATCTCAACGTATTATAGAACACTGCTTAGTGTGAATTCAGTCTATCTACCAAAATAACTGCCATTAAAATAAGCCAATCCCGCTTAAGGAAAACTATAATACATAACAATCACTCTTTGTCTATACATTATTTCTAAATCAGTTTAAAGCTGTTCACCCTCCACTGAAAGGACTGAGAGGACATTAACTGCAGTGGAAGCACGGCTCTCATACTTCAAGGAATGCTTGGTATGGCGAGCCACACCAAACTCCATTTAAATATCTGGAAATTAACAGTTAATTGTCTAAATTTCAATACACGCACGTCGCACAAAAGATACATTTAGTTTATTAATTATCAATGCTCTCTGGTAAAATCGGCGTAGTAAATGTATGTAAGACTTCAAAAAATGTCAATAAAGTTTAAATGAATGAATGGTTGCACAGAAACATTTGGGTAACAAGCTAACTCTGATGTCAACATGTTTCTAAGAACCGTTGAGATTAGCTTCAGTAACTATGAGTTAGCTTCATTACTGGGTCGAACTGGCCAAAGTTTCCAGTCTGCTATTTTAGAGTTATAGCTTAGAAGCTATATCTGAGTTAAAGAGCTGTCTTAAGTGTAAGTTTATTCGGCTTTTTTCTCTTACCATTTCTGTTTCTGAGGTACTGTGTGCTGACGTTTTCTGATGCTCTTCTTTCTGTAGCTAAAACCGGCAGACAAGATGCATCTGAAGGGCTCTGCTGCCCCCTGCTGGTCATAGAACGCCACTACAACTCCATGCACAGTGTAGCCTATTACTGTTACACCTGTATTTCTGTTACACCCAGACTGTGCATCATTACTTAATTAATATACTTAATCAGGCCTATTAGGTTATCAGGTTTTATATGCAATTATTATAATATTTATAATTAAACTGTAAACTAAAATGGACATTTTTCCTATTTTGATATAGCTATCAATATGGCTATAGGCTATACTTTCCATAATATATTACAATGTCACTTACTATATGCAGGCAACCTGTTGGGCTGAGAGTGACATATGCATATACATTTGGGAATTAAGTTTAATATGATTGTACATATATTTTCTTATTAGTATTTTTCAGACAATGCCAGTAAAAATAAAGCAAGATGTACTGTATATGCATACACCTTTTTATTACAGTTTGTAACATAAGGTCAGGGGGCTGTAGAAAAGTGAAGAGTTTGTTTATTTAATATAAAGTCATGTAGTAATCATATTTATTATATTGTAAAATAATTTTGACTACATTTGCACTTATTATACTGGATAAAAAACAGTAATGTAAAGTAGCCCTTATAATATAAAGGCAGTAAAATGAGTAAAACACCCATTTTCACATAATTTAGTCCAGTGTTTTTCAATCTGTGGTCCAGGGATCAACAGGGTCCTTGAGTGGGTTGTTTGGGGTCTCCAGCAAAAGGAGGAATTTCATATTTTAAGGGACCAGTGTCTAGGACGTAGTGGCATCTAGTGGTGAAGTTGCTGATCACAACTCCATCGCTTTACCCTTTACCTTTCCTAGCGTGTAGGAAAAACTACTGTGGCTGCGCAATAGGCAAAAGAACGCAAACTGCCTTATATAGAGCCTGAGGCTACTGTGGAAACATAGTGGTTCAAGAGGGTGGACTCCACCAGAAGAGGACCCGCTCCTTCTGTAGATAAAAACAGCTCATTGTAAGGTAATGAAGACACAATGATTCCTATTTTCAGGTGATTCATACACTAATGAAGAACAATACACGATTGAATACTTATATTCCATTCTGACAATAGATCCTCCTCAATGTTAACCTGGCCTTTAAGTTCAGTTATTTCTTTTTGATGTTTATTTGTCAAACTAGAGCAATTTTACTTTTCCTGTATATAACACACAGTAGTACAATAGTCCCCTAATGTGTTTATGTAATTATTGTCTACATGATTATGTATTAATATTTCAACAGGCACATATCTAACTCAAAAAGTTGTTGAAACGGATTACATAAATCATTTTCGTAACTTTAATATTAATATATTCCTCAGACACTAACTTACAGAAACTTACTTGATTTACGGTACTTTCTACTAGGTATTTTGTTTTCACAGTAGAAATAAAAATTATGTCAAGTCAATGTCACTTCAAATAACTAAAGCTACTTGAACTTACAAAATTTAGTTAGTTTTACTTAAAATTTTTATGTGATTTCACTTAAAGAATTAATTATGTGGTTTTACAGTATACATGAGAAATAATCCACAGAAAACACAGAATGATGACGATTTCAGGCTTTACCATTTTATTTGGTATGCATGTTTATGTAAATTATATTTAATTACTCATCAACACTGTTCACATACAGCTATTGACAGAACAGATAATCTCAATCCTGACGTGACTTTAATATGTAATTCTCAACATTTTAATACAAGAAGAGAAAATGGTTGTATTTGCACTTAAAATATTTTACTGAAGAAAAAAAATGATTCACAAAGGACAACAAAAGTGTGCCAAAATGTAGACTGAATGGTGTTTATTGAACATATTAATGGTAAGAGAAGTGTTTTATATGCATTAATAATAATTCTATTAATTATTGACAGGTATAGGTCCCATTTGCTTGGCCTAATTTGAATTTAATAATTGACTAAAAGTTTTTATATTCTCCTCACCAAAACCTTCTTCCTATGCAAATAAAATCAGCATTACAGCTACAAATACAATATAATCCATATACCTAATTATGCAATGATTCTGTTTAATTTCAGATTATCAAGAATGAAAATACCCTTTCACCACATGAAAAAATTGCTGTAAAAATGTAATTAATAAGCCCACAGGTTCGATCATGTCAATTACAAAGGACAGAGTATTTCTAGAACAAATCACAGTAGTAGACAATTCACCAACAACAATGGTCCCCCTTCCTGCATGGATTCTGTAATAATCACACCCTTCCCTGTAAATAATATTCTTTCAGTCCCATCTCACCTTACAATATTAACTTTTACATACAAATATGTACAAATCTCTAGACCAGCCAGCTGGTCTGAAAATCAAAAGAAAAAACAGATTGGAGGGCTCCATGTGTAACCACGGTTCACTGAGTGGAACCCCACATATAATTCCAAATTCCAAGGGACTGAGCCCCTGTACATACACATTTATCACTCCATGCTTTATAAATGTACATTTATAAAGCATGGAGTGATAAATGTGGACCTCCATTGGTAGAAACAGAGAGAATAGTACATTTGTGTAAAGGTACAGAAATGATAGAGACATTTTACTATCCACATTCTTGTGCTTTAGTGAGGACGGCAGTGAAAAGTTATCCCCAGTATACCCCGTGTTCACCAGTATTTGTGTACAGTTGATTTATGCAGTATTTACCCAGTATGGAGTGCTGCAGGAATGAGTGCTAAAAGCTGGAACTCGCCTCAAAATCTGTTTTTTTGTTTTTTTATTTAGAAGTCTGAAATAAGGTCTGAGGTTAACTCCAGCTTGAGAGGAGTTTGTTCTATGACTGAATGTTGAAGCCACGTGTCTAAATAAGACTACAAGGGTTGTCAGTGACAGTTACCTTCTGTAATTTTATGCTTTCAAAATCATAAAAGGTAGTTTTCATTTGTTAAAATTATCTTGCTGAACAAAACCTGCCAGTATTATTAACCTTTGCTCACCACATATTTTATTTGATGCAACAATCTAAAATAAAATGAAAAGATCCCATTGGCTTATTACGTCATCCCTGCAGCACTCAATTATAAAGGGCTTGATAGACGACAGCAGAAATAAAAAGGAAGCTTTTCCAGTATCTGATACATCCTTTCACATCAAACATGCATGGCCAGCATGCATATAGTGGAACATTCACACATACAGTTCAACAACCGCACACTGCAGATACACAAACACACATATGAATCCTGTGGGTGAGGATCTATTGTATATTGTCAGTCCTGGTACAACAGTGGCTTTGTGCTGCTGCAGCTGTGGGGCTTAGCTCACTACAGCCAACAGCAGGCCTACAGTATCACTGTTACAGTAGCTCTATACACAAAGAGACAAGGACAGAGTACACACATGCTACTCAGCTATGATATGGAAAAAAAGTTCCTCTTAATCTACTATGAGTTATACGATATATATTGCAGCTCCCTCACAAAACAAAAACTGCCTAAAACTACAAAGTGCAACAAGTTCTGGCTGTTGTCTTTTTGGTGAATACTGTGCAGTCAGTGTGACACCATAATGTAGGCAGGGCAGCAGCAAATAGAAGGCCAGTATTCTTCTTGTCAGGTCCATGAATCCGAGCCTCTGATAGCTGGGTACATGCAGTTGGCTGACTGACTTAAATAAATATCTTAAACTATCTGGTCAACTGATCATCAATCACTGATCCATCTGCCACTCTAGATCCTCGAAAATGAAACAAGCTGTGGTTTAATCAATGTTTAAATATCATACATTAAAGCTGCACTGATAATTGTTATATATATATATATATATATATATATAGCTGAAATCTCTAATAAACCCACTGTACACTAACTTCTCAACAGCAAACAGCAGATAAAAAAAAGAAAAAGTTAGCGATTAGCTGGTGAACTGAACATTTAGCCAGCTAAATAGGCGGACCAACACCAGAGCCTATAGGGAGGAGCTAAAATATTGCGACTTAAAGCGGGAACTTTCGCAACTCTAGCCATTTCTTCGCTGGTTTTCATTTTTTGTCATCGCCATGTTTTCTCAATGAGCTCCCCTACAGCTCTGGCGACGGTATTTCACCAACACGTTCGAAAAAAAAAAACTCACTTGTGGCACCCTCCTCCCACCTTCACCGCTGGCTGGATGTGCCTTTTTTTCGGGGGGCCGAGGACAAACTTTTTCGGTGGTGGGCAATATCTACCGAGGTGGGTAATACATAATACACTAAGCCGTTATTGACGGGCCGGCGTGTGCGTTTATGCTGCGAATTGCCCCGGTAAAAGCCGTTCGTGTTTTCTCGCTTGTTCTCGCTTCTCGCGATACTCCCTATTTCCCAATTTACCGGGACGGTAGGGCCCAAATTTGCAAGGTTGGCGTTTTCCACCTGGTGGTTCGCTGAGGGGGGTGTGGAGGGTCACCATTTTCACCGGAACAGGCCATTTAACCATCCAACATGATTTCTAAACGGGTTTAAAAAAGTGCCAAGTTCCCCTTTAAAGTTCATTCAGGTCAGACAAATATGACTCCAAAATTTAATGCTTATGTTCTCTGCTGTCTGCGGATTTGTAAATTTGGCAACTGTTTGCTTAAACTTTAATAATTTAATAATAGGTCGAATCCCTGTGTTATACAGCTTATACTGAGCTAAAATCGATTGAGCTAAGCTTTTCTATTCAGCTGTTGCAATGCTACATGGTTCAATGATGTTTTTAACCCTCTCTATTTTAAAGGATCTCTTGTTCGCAACCCAGGGTACACATTACAGCTACAAAAATGGGAACGCAGATATT